TTGACGAATCCTGAAAAAAAATTGTATCATTAATGTAATAATATTTCACAATATTACAATTTTTGTGCTGTATTTTTAGTGCAGCCTTGGTGAGCATAGAGACTAAAAACATTAAAAAAATGTTTACCTAACCCGAACTTTTGAATGGTAGTGTAAATGCATAGCATTACTAATAAAAACAAAAAAATCAGCCTGTTTTGAGTTACCATCTTTCTCCAGATTTCCAGAACTATCTGCGCACACAGACAGGCAGCACAACTACGATCAACATCATCATCTGCACTGTTGACTATCTGCTCAGACTACAGGTACAGCTTCAGCTCAACTGTCTTCCTCTACGTCCCTATATACAGTATACTATCGTCAAAAGTATTCGGACACTTACAAATGTGTTAATGTCATTGTGTTTGAGAACAAGAAAACAAGTGGCAGATGGCTAAAAACATCAGTGAAATGACATTCAAATGTGGCTCAAGTAAGCTTGGTTGTCTCTTATTTTCGTCCTTACTCTTCATTCCTGTCTCAGGAGTCTATCAGTGACTTCTACTGGTATTACTCTGGGAAGGATATCATTGATGAACCAGGCAAGAGAAACTTTTCTAAGGCAATGACGGTTGCTAAACAGGTTTTCAACAGCCTGACAGAGTATATCCAGGTACTGGCGTCACCGCTATATGCAGTCGAGCTCTTTCAGACTTTGTCTTCAATATAGTTTATCTGTATTTTGTTTCTCCACCATAGGGTCCTTGTACCGGTAATCAGCAGTCTCTGGCTCACAGCAGGTTGTGGGATGCCGTGGTGGGCTTCTTGCATGTGTTCGCACACATGATGATGAAGCTAGCACAGGTAGGAACACATATGTTGAGCACACACACACACCCCTAACGTGACTGATAAATCTTATTATATTAATCGATTTGATTGCATCTAGAAAACCCCGGAATTTTCCTGGAAAGGTTCCATCAACACTGAATCAGTAACATCTGTATGTTGTTTTATTTTGACATTAAAATACTTGTCGTTGAGTTTTGCCTAATCTAAAATCAAAACATAATTTCACCAACTTTACACAGAGGAAATAAGAGAAAAACAATGCATTGTATTTTTTAGTAAGTATTGCTGCAAAAAAATGTTTGTGAAAGCATTTTTAAGATCAGGTATATTGGATGTTAAATCAGTTGAAAGCTTTTCTCAGATGTTCCAAATTACAATTTTTATAGTGTTGGAGCTGCATAAATTATCAAATGTGTGCATTAGAGCAGAAGTCAAATGCATGTAATACATGTGCATACTTATATATTCTATATAAGTATGATCAGAGTAGACTAATGAAGAATATTTTCTCTGTTTTGGAAGTTGCAATTTTTTCAGCACTAATGTTTAGTTGTTACTATGCATAGTCTAATTAAATAATAATTAAATTATTTAATTTTATCCTTTAAAAAAAATAAATAAATTACTAATCTGTTTACTAATTTGTTGACTGTGGTTGGTTATTAACTTCCTGAGTAGGGGTGTTCGATTCCAGGTTTTTCAGAGTTGACAAACTCCATTCTCGACTCCATTTACTTTACATCAAATAATACAAGTTTGCAGTCGTTACTACACACTTAATTAACGACTCCGACTCTAGGTCTATTCAGAGTTGAGGAATCGACTCTTTTGGAGTCAACTCCCCATCACTATTCCGGAGTCAATTTCTGCCTCTTCATATCATTAATTATAGATTTAGAAGAAACCTTATCGGAGGTATGGACCTTTTTTACATTTCCGGGTTTCTCAGCCGCGGAAGTCGTCATAGTTGGGTTAACTTGAAGAGTGGTGAATGGGAGAGTACCACAAATATATTTTTTGCACTCCCATTTGCTCAAATAGCAAAAGAAAAACTCCACGATAGTGTTTTCATGACTTTCAATAAAAGGAAAAAAATTGAGAGACTGATCACGGCAGTCAGAAGAGAGAACGTTGTCAAATTTACCATCCCTCCCATAGATGCTGCATTAGAAACACCCTCGCATTAGCGTTAACTGTTTTTTTATAATTTGATGCAAAGGTGATATAATACAAAGAATAGTGTTGTAAATGTACATACATTAATAAAACGGATAGTTCCGGTCCTTGATTCTGATTGGCTGAGCCATGTTCAAAGCTGTTGTACATTACAATCATACACCTTTGTTTACGTTTGTCTGTTGCTTGGCAACCACTTGTTTTAGGGGGTTCTAAGTGGTTTACAGTTAATTTATAACAGCTAAGGGGGTTTTAGGGGGGTTCTAAGTGGTTTACAGTGAATTTATAACAGCTAAGGGGGTTTTAGGGGGTTCTAAGTGGTTTACAGTTAATTTATAACAGCTAAGGGGGTTTTAGGGGGGTTCTAAGTGGTTTACAGTGAATTTATAACAGCTAAGGAGGTTTTAGGGGGTTCTAACAATGCCCCTAAGCTGTTATAAATTCACTGTAAACCACGGCTTCTTGGGGCTTATTGCTTTAAAAGAAACTTGGTTGTTAAATTTCTTTGGAGTTTCATATATTTTATGGGAAGCTTTTCTAAACTGTAAATAGAATAGAATTTTTCTGATTGTGGTGTTTATCGGTTGATCACTGTTTATAGTGTAATATTCCAGTAACTATTTCCAAACTGGATTATAGTGGATTATCAAATGGATTGTATTTAACACTCTTGATATTCTATTATATAAATGTTTAGTCCGGTATCACCACTAATCCATGAATGTGGAACATGTTCACAGTGTGACGTGACTGTTGATGCTCTAGTAATCTTTAATCATGTGTTGTTTCTCTTAACCTCTCTGTTGTGTTGTTTGATTTTGTTCTAATATTTGTTACACATCTGGTACCTGTGTACTGCATTTTTGTATTTCTCGGCAGTTTAATACCTACAAAAACGACTCGTAGGGACTACAACGAGTTACTTCCCAGGTTCGTGACGTCACAAACCCTGATAAACCCCGCCCTCGGGAGCATGCAATGAAGGGGGCGAGGCTATGCTGCGTTGCTTTAGAGAAGAGGAAGAGAAAACTAGAGGTGCACGTAAAAATCTATTCATAAATGAATCGCGATTCTGTCTTCTAACGATTCTAATGGATTCACAAGTTTCAAAATCAATGTTCTAAAGCAGCGGTTCTTAATACTGTTCCTCGCGTCCCCCTGCTCTGCACACGCTCTGCATCTCTCTCTCTCTCATTCAGATCATCAGCTCAGCTCTGTTCCATTTATACACTTATTTTCACATAGCTATGAGAAGAGATATACATGGACACGCGTGCCGTACTGTATTAAAGCTTTAATCAGGATAAAATTGTTTACAATACAACCGGAGCACATGCCGCTGAGGTGAGGGGCCAGACGTTTAGACATGCGCCAGAGGTGGTTTAGCCAATCACAACACACTGGACTAGCTAACCAATCAGAGTCCATCGCCTATTTCTGAGGGAGGGGCTTCATAAAAGCAGGAAATGTTCAGCGTGTTTATCAGAGAAGGGACAGAATAAAGGTAAATTATGTGAGAAAGTGGAATAAAGGTAAATTATTTGAAAAATAATGTGTTTTTAAAAAAACGAAGCATGAACACGTTAGACTGCACCCCATAAACACAATCAAGCCTAGAACAAAACCAGTCAACCACCCCTTTAAAATTGAGAATCTCTCCCACTCTCTCAGGCTTCAAAAATATGAATATATCTGATAGTGAAACATTTAATTGTCTGTTGAAAGATCAGTGCCCACATGTCAAAGTTGCTTCATCACCAACAAATTGACACGGTTGTGTTTTATATTATAGGTGAGGCCAAAAAGAGGCCAACATAAACTAAACTTACTTAATTTTTCTTTGCCCTGGTTGTCTGCATAAGTAGAAGAGAGAGACTATAAAAAACAGACATGCAAATTTAAAAAAATATAATAATGAGGAAAGAGAATATATCTAAGAGAATGGGAAATACAAAATACAAAAATGTATTTTTATTCTGATGTGTAACCCTGCCAGATGCACCCTGACCAAGGACTCCGAAATGGCGTAAGGATCTTTGTTTTTGCGTCCATCTTACGCACTTTTGCACTGCTTTTCACACACGTACACAGTGCACAGAACAGTTTTTTCTTTGCTTCCTGTTTCCGTTGTATTGCTTATGTGTCGGCACGTTTTCTGCAAGTGTTTTCACTTGCATTTTTTTGTCATGTACATTTCCTCTGTTCCCACAGTATCAGTGTTGAATTTCTGAAAGCAGTCTTAACCTTGTTGGGTTTATTTTGATATACTGGAGCTGAGGGAAGTGTCACTATGCCGTGTTCCTGCTGTTGCTCACTTGTAGAGGAAATGTATTTCCCTCGACCTGCGCTATGTAACTCTTTTCATGTGCAGACATACATATGTTCTCAAGAAAATCTGTACAATACTGCATAAATCTCACAAAACCTGTCAAGATCATGTTGGGGTCACATTTTAAAAAGTATGATATAATTTTATATGTTTTGTTTACTTTCATACTTTTGTTGCAGTGTGTGTGTGTGTTTTTCAATTAAAATTAGCTTAAACCAAATGATATTCATAATATTGTATTATAAACTTATGAATATAATATACATTTGTTATTATTATTATTATTCATGCATAAAACTTTTAATGACAAGATAATCAAAAATAGGCTTAATTTTCTTTGAAGTAATATACCATTTCTTTTTGTCTTCCTTTTGATTTTGCTGTGAAATATCAAAAAGGTTTTGTGAGATTTGTCTAATATTTCTTAATGTACAGTATATGTGCAGGCCTTTGTGCTCTTTTGTTGTTATACATGTTAATGCATATACTGTGTTTGCAGATGTGTGTGATATTGTTCTGTATGAAAGACTTTTTGTGTCTGCTGGCATTCCTTCATAATATGCTTTTAGACCATCAGCTAGGCACATATAAAATGTGCTGGCAAATAACCTAGATATTTATTGTTAATAATTGAAATTACATATTACAGTGCTTTATGGCAATATTTTGCAGATACAAAGTCATTAAGAATATGACTGTCCTCATCTATGCCAGGAGCTGACATCTGCTATCTTCATATCCTCTTTAAATGTCCCTGTGTTAGATGATAGGTTACAGTATGTGATGCTATGTTTGTGTCTGTTTATAAATGCAAACCCAGGATCATTTCTGGAGTAGAACACATTCTGAGGTAAGCTGAGAATAGGTGGACTTTGTCCCAGTAGTTCCATCTCCCACATCGCCCCATAAAATAAAACATGCCAGAGATGCTAGTTATGCCACTAAAATCAATTTTAGCCTAATCGGGATACTTGGTATTCTCGGTACATCTCTTTTCATGGTTCCATGGTGCATATCATATTAAACACTACGGAGAACCAGTTTTAAGCAATATGAACTGAAAGATCCTTTATGCTCTCTAACAGTGAGAGTTTGAGACATTTTGTGGATAATGATTTGTTATTTTTTTGTATGTCTGAATTTGGTTGTGTGCAACAGGACTCCAGTCAAATTGGTTTGTTGAAGGAGCTTCTGGATCTGCAGAAAGACATGGTGGTGATGCTTCTATCTCTACTGGAGGGTAAAAGATATCTGTCCATCAAATTTAACTTTCATAGTGACCTACAAACCTGTAAAGCCACTCAAGTCATGATCTATAGCCTATTTTATTGTTTTATTACAGGTAATGTTGTGAATGGCACAATTGCTCGCCAGATGGTTGACATGCTGGTTGAGTCATCCAGCAATGTAGAGATGATTCTCAAGTTCTTCGACATGTTCCTCAAACTGAAGGATATTGTGGCATCGGATGCCTTCCGTGACTATGTGACGGACCCTCGTGGCCTCATCTCCAAGAAGGACTTCTCCAAGGCTATGGACAGTCAGAAGCAGTACACACCATCTGAGATCCAGTTCCTGCTCTCTTGCTCTGAAGCCGATGAGAACGAGATGATAAATTTTGAGGAGTTTGCTGATCGCTTCCAAGAGCCAGCCAAAGACATCGGCTTCAACATTGCTGTGCTACTCACCAACCTGTCTGAGCACGTTCCTCATGACACCCGCTTGCAGAACTTTTTGGAGCAAGCTGAGAGTGTCCTGAACTACTTCCGACCCTTCCTGGGCCGTATCGAGATCATGGGCGCCAGCAAGAGGATCGAACGCATTTACTTTGAAATCAGCGAGGCCAACCGCAACCAGTGGGAGATGCCTCAGGTCAGAGAGTCCAAGCGGCAGTTCATCTTTGATGTCGTCAATGAGGGTGGTGAGTCTGAGAAGATGGAGCTCTTTGTGAACTTCTGCGAGGACACCATCTTTGAGATGAACATTGCCTCGCAGATCTCAGAGCAGGAGGAGGAGGTGATCGAAGATGAGGATGAAGAAGATGAGGAGGAGAGCAGTGGCGGCGGAAATGGAGCGGGAGAAGGAGAAGAAGGGAATGGAGAAGTAGCACCACCTGAATCCAGCTCAGCCTTTACAGACTTCATCAAGGGCGTAATGAATTTCATTAACCTCTTCACTTTCCGCAATCTCAGACGCCGTTACCGCAAAATCAGGAAAATGACCATAAAGGACATGATTGTTGGTCTGGTGATGTTGCTCTATACTGTCCTCTTTGGCATCCTGCACTTCATGTACAGCATCTGCCGAGGTTTCTTCATGCTCATCTGGAACACTCTCTTTGGGGGAGGTCTGGTGGAGGGAGCTAAGAAGATGACATTGACAGAAATTCTGACTAACATGCCCGACCCAACTCAAGATGAGGTGCACGGTGACCTTCCACCTGAGCCAGGAGCAAGAAAAGCACAAGAATCAGGTGGAGCTGCTGAGGGAGAGGAGGGAACAGGAGGAGGAGAGGAGGAAGCCGAAGAGGGAGAAGAGGATGATGGTGGAAGACCTGGTTTTGGTCCTCACGGCGGTCTAGGAGATATGGGAGAAACTGAGCCAGAGGAGCCTCCGACTCCAGAAGGCAGCCCACTGCTGAAGAGGAAGCTGGTGAGAAGAAGCTTTTTGAGTTTTTAGTCTAAAGATGCGGTCGGTCAGTTACCTTTGTTCGGCAAATGTTCACAGCCGAAATTTGGTATTTTCAGAAGGAATTACTCAGTCAGGATTGGACTAAAAGTGCTCTATGGGATGTTGTTCAATGGACGCTTACCTTTCTTTTCTTTTTTTTTTATATTTTATTTTAAGCTTTTCACATTTTAGAGAACAATCCCCCAACCCCCCATGCCAGCAAATCAAAGGAAAAAGAAGAGAGAAAAAAAAACCCTAATGACACTAATCAATGTAATCATGCATATATACATACACCCACATATAGTATACATATACATCTCCATAAACATACATCGTTCATACTTGTGTATCTATACAAGAGCACACACAGCTGTCTCTACAGATACACAGAGTCAAAAAAAAAAACTTCCTATACCAATAAATACCCAATTATGGAAATATATAATTATTACACACTGCTATTTTATTAAATTAACCACCCCACATAAAGAAAAAGGTTAAATTCAGTTATCATAGGTCACCTTCAAAATATTCCAAGAAGGACTTCCAAATCTGTATGAATCTTTTTGGTTTACCCGCAATCTCGTATCTAATTTTTTCCATATGTAACACATTATTGAGCTCTGTAAGCCAAGTTTCAAATTTAGGTGCAGACTCTTTGTTCCACATCAACAAAATTGTCTTTTTTGCTATAGTCATCCCATATTTAACTGTTTGGATCTGACTGAAACTATACTTCTCTAAGAAGGGGGCCCAGCCTAATATTGCAATAAGAGGGTCATGAGGAAAATCAATCTTAAGTACCTTTGAGTAGAAAGAAAAAACCTCAGTCCAAAATGTACACATTTTTGGGCAGAGCCAAAATAAATGAGCCAATGTACCCTCATTGGACTTGCATTTGAGACACAAAGGTGACACAGAGGGATATATGGAATATAATTTGGTACAGGAGTAGTGCAATCTATATGGACAACTTTGTACTGAATCAACTGAAAATTAGAGTTGATGGAGCAAGACTTAATACCTTGGAGGGCCTTAGTCCAATTATCTTCTGAAATATCTATCCCCAAGTCCTTTTCCCAAGACATCTTTAAGTATTGAGTAGAAAGAGTTCTAGAATCATTAAGATATTCAACATATTTAGAAACAAGACCCTTCAAGTCGAGTTCAGAGGTCATAGATAAATAAAGATATTCAGGGGACTTGTAAACTTCAAAATTAGAGATATTACTTTTAACATAATTCCGTACTTGTAAATACCTGAAAAAATGAGAGGAAGGTAGCCCAAATTTTTGTCTAAGCTGAGCAAAAGAAGCAAATTCATTATCTATATATAAATCTCCTATAGACAGAACTCCTTTTTCTTTCCATGATAAAAAAGTTCTATCCGACTGTGATGGAAGGAATGCATGATTGCAAGCAATAGGGGTAAGTGAGCAGGTCTGAGGGAGTTTAAAGATTTTTCTGAGCTGATACCAAATCTTAAGACAGGAATGGTAGCGTTCGATTTCCCGGGGCATGCAATCCACCAATACATTAATGCCCTTAGGTTGGCTGCCCAGTAGTAATGCTGAAAACAGGGAAGACCTAGGCCTCCTACCTCTTTTGTTTTACAAATATGCGCTTTAGATATACAATGAGCTCTATATCCCCAGATAAATGGCATGATCACAGTATCAAGTGTTTTAAAAAATGACTGGGTTAAAAGGATTGGAACGTTTTGAAACAAATGAAGAAATCTAGGTAAAGTAACCATTTTGATTGCGTTAACACAACCAATCATTGTTAAAGGGAGTACTCGCCAAGTCTCTATATTTTTCTTCAGTTTATCTATCATGACCTTGTAGTTTGTTTCGTACAAGCTTTTATAATGTCTAGGGACAGTGATACCAAGATATTTTAATTTGCTTACAGTTTTAAACGAGAGACTATTAATAAAACCTGAACCTATATTATCATATAATGGCATAAATTCACTTTTCTGCCAGTTAACGGTGTATCCGGAAAGGGCACCAAACTCTCTAATAAGATCAAACAAAAAGGACAAGGATCTTTCTGGCTCTGAAAGAAAAAGAAGAACATCGTCCGCATATAGAGAGATCTGATGTTCTACATCTCCCATAATAACAGGAGATATATGTGAGTGATTTCTTATACTTATTGCCAAAGGTTCCATAACGATAGCAAAAAGTAAAGGACTCAGTGGACAGCCCTGGCGGGTACCACGGTGAAGAAGAAAAAGAGGGGATCTATTATTGTTTGTGAGAACTGAGGCAGAGGGGCAAAGGTACAGCATCTTAATCCACGAAGAAAACTTGTCCCAGACCAAATTCTTCTATAGTACTTAAGATATGAGTCCATTCCACCCTGTCAAATGTCTTATGGGCATCTAGGGCTAGAATGGCTATTTTATCATGTTTGCCTTTATTTCTGTACACAACATTAATAAGTCTGCGTACATTATGAAAAGAAAATCTCCCGGGAATAAAACCAGTTTGATCTTCGTGTATTATTGAGCTAATACATTTACTTAGCCTATTTGCTAAAATTTTAGTAAATATCTTAACATCACTACCAAGAAGGGAAATGGGTCTGTAAGAGGAGGAGTCTGTACTATCTTTATCTTTAAAATCAATGCAATATTTGCAGAATAAAGTGTCATTTTTTGTTTTCAATAGAATCTTTGAACATCCTAAACATCAAGGGGGAAATTTGATCAGAGAAAGCCTTATAAAATTCAATGCAAAAGCCATCCGGGCCAGCCGCTTTACCATTGGGAAAATTCTTAATAGCTGTGAAAACTTCTTCCAGTTTAATGTTTGAATTTAAGCTTTCTCTCGCATCCTCACTAATTTTGGGTAGTCCAAAGGAATTTCATTTGAGGGTAAAATATTTCCCCATGATTTTCACAATGTTTACAATTTGATCACATGGATATCTGTGACTTCTGTGAGAGTGGTGCTTCATAATCACAACACTATAGGCAGTAGACTATGGACCTTTTTAACCTGTGAAATTTTGCCCAACTTGTACTAATGTGACCACACCTTAAGAATAAACATCCAGCATGTGGATTGTTCCTCACCATGTTTCCACATTGTTATCTTTCAGTTTGTCAAATATAATGGTGCTTCTTGCTTTGTAGACTCATAATCTAAATCTCTTAATCTATATATTCTTCTCCTTAATGTTTGGCCGGATATTTCAGGTGAGTGAAGAAGCAGAGGAAGAAGAAGTAGAAGAGGAGAAAGTAGAGGAAGAAGCAGCCCCTGAACCCGAAAAAGCAGAGTAAGTAATGGAGAACAAATGATCAAACTAATTTCTTTTACCATAAAAAGTATTTCGTTGGTGATCTGTTGTGAAGCCATATTCATCACAACACATAGACATTGTGCTGTTGTTGCTTTGACTTATCCTTCTGTCCATCAAAGTGCTGAAAATGGAGAAAAGGCCGAGGAGGAGGCAGAACCTGAGCCAGAGGAAAAACCAGATGAAGAGCAAGAGGAGAAAAAAGCAAAGGCTAAAGCAAAGAAAGGCAAGAAGAAAGAGGAAGAGGGCTTTGAACTATGGAATGAACTTGAAGTCCAAAGAAACAAGTTCATGGTAATTATATTTATTTATCTGTGTACATCTTATAATATTATATTATTATGAACATTTTTCCTTCATCATTTTTTTATTCTAACTGCATTTAAAAGTCAAACCACTTTCTCTTCTTCTAGAACTATTTGTCTCGTAATTTCTACAACCTGCGCTTCCTGGCTCTCTTCATCGCCTTTGCACTCAACTTCATTCTGCTCTTCTACAGGGTCAGTATGATTTTAAAGTGCCCCTATTATGGGTAATGAAAGGTTCGTATTTTGGTTTTGGGAGTCCACAAGAACAGGTTGACATGCATGCAAGGTCAAAAAACACTTTCATTGTCTTATAATATGCATTTATTTAGGCCTTATTGCTCAACGACTCCCAAACGATTCGCTCAACGATTCATTTTTCCAAACCCCTCCTTTGCCTGACGCTAATCTGCGGTGATTGGTCCGATTGGTCTCATTTTCATTTCATCATGCCTGTAATGCCTGATAAAGCAGCGTTTGTGAGCGCAGTGCTGCTTTGTGTACAGCGTTACCTGGGAAACCACTATTCTAACCACTCCAAAAGCGGCACCTAGTGGCAAAGAATGAATTTGCATTTTCATTCAGACCAACGCGAAAATCAAGTTTTCCTAGGTCTGCGCGGAATAAATGGGCGGGCAATATGCTAATGTTTTATGTTGACCTCAACATGAAACGGCTTGGGATTCCTTTTAAAAATGCACTTTCAGATACACGGTGCACTTCCAGATTTAAAACTTTGCAGGATGTTTCTGTCAGGACCACTATCGTCAAAGATGATTGACAATTAGCATACAGTTTGGATTGGCGGTATGGTTCCGTTCTGGGCAAGAACTCCCTGCACATCCATGCAGCCTAGCATGGATGAGAGCAGGGAGAGCAGCGATAACCCCCCCCCAGGGTAAACAGAACCAACATAAATGTATGCAAATATCGTTAAAGTTCAATAATGTTATGTACACATTTTAGAATTAGTCTGATTCAAAGGAGAATCAGAAGGCTGAATCCTGACTGACAGAGGAGGAGTTGGGGATGCGTTTCGGGGCATGGAAATGTTGCCTCAATAACAGACCGGTGTGTAAAACTCTCGGACATATTTGAAAGATTCTATGCCGCAAAATTTAAATATTTTACATACTTTGAGAATCCAACGTTTAGTTGATCCTGATAAGCACTCGTCGTCACAGCTGTAAACACGGCGGCTTTCTTTTTTCGTAAGGGTTTGGCATCACGGCATCTTTGTTTCCAGTGGAACGTTAAAGAACTTGACACACACGTCTCCCGGAAATCCTGTATAATTCAACCAATCCAGTTCTTATATGACCGGGATCTTTGATCGCTGGGGCTTCTCCATCTTCCAGACACTGTGCAAATCCAGTGTCAGAATGTACCTGGTTATAAAACATTTGTCACCGAAATGACGGGAACAAATAAATGCGCTTGAGAACTCCGTTGCTGGCTTGGAAAACAAATTGCATCCACTGTTCACATAACACTGAACAAGGTTATCTTTTCCTCACAACCAAAAACACACTCTTTAGAGATATTAGACTGATTTCAGACGAGGCATGCTAACTCTGTATATTGAGCTCTTATTTATGAAAGTTTTGACTTTTAATCACATCTTTATGTGTAGACGGGAGGTTTTGATAGCTTTGTAAATGTTTTGTCAATGAGTTATTGGAATTAGCCTAATTTATTTAGCCTAAAAATATGAGCTGTACTGTTAATCGGTGACGTCACTTAAAGGAGCGTGAATTAACTGAATCTAGTTAAAATGTGATTTGATCTTTCATGGCAAAGTTAAACAATTATTGATAAAAAATTGTTCTGTGGTTTCAGGAGTAACCTTTCTACAACAGAAGAGAAGCTCCAAGATATCTACATTTCTGAAGGAAGCTGCTGACAGAGATGTAGGAAAGACAGGTAACGTTATGCTGAGAAAGCTCATTAACCCTCTGGCCCTAAATTTATATTTAGAAATTTTTAAAATCTTAGCTTCATTGGAATGAGATGACACTTGGTGACTTTTGTCACATTAGCAATAAGTACACAAAAAAAAATCATGGACATGATTTGGATATGTTAAAGGGTAAAAAAAAAAAAAAAGTCACCCTTGACTTCTTCGTGGTCAAAAATGACCGACATAGGAAATTAATGGGAAATACGTAAAAATGTGAAAACTCAGTGAGTCTTTTGGTGTTACAAACTACAAATCAGCCACTGATCAGAAAAAAGTGTGCAGCAATCAATGGGTGACTCTCTAGAATATCAGGAGTGCAAAACAGACACCCACACACGCGCATACACATATATATAGTGAAATGAACTGGTAAGACTGGAACAGAGCAAATTTTGAAAATATGT